AATTTATATCTCCGGAAACGTAAAGTTTCCAAGAAAAATTCGTGATATATCTACAATTCATTTACGAATACCGAGTACAAGTTATAAAAAGTGCATTTTTGGTAAACCTTTCTGTCTCTAATAGTTTCTGAAAATAAAATTAATTTTTTAAAAAAAGGTCCATTAAATTTATATTCTCCGAAACTAAAGTTCCATAAAAAAAAATCGTAAATATTTTTTTTTAAATCAACCATTTTAATTTACCCACTAGTAAGTTATAAAAATCATTTTTGGTAAACTCTGTCTACTAATAGGTTCTGAAAATAAACCATTACGGAATACTCCATATATATAATAAAGAAGGAGGGAACGCGTAATATGCATGTGGTTTTTTTTCCTTTGTTATTTCAGTGCGTTATTGTTTAACAGATCTCTCCTCCGTCGCCGACCGCCTCTCCCTCCCAGCGCCACTAGACGTATTAATTAAGGTGCCCTCTCCACCACGCGTGCGATCGAGTAGCGGCACGCAGGCAGCCCGGGCCTTTAGCGGCGACCGAGCTTCCGTCCTTTGACGTCATCTAATTAACCGGTTGCCAGTTGTTAACGGCGACAGTTTCCCATATGGCTGTTCGACATGCCGCAATACAAGGGAGGCATTGCGCCGCCTACGCATTGGAACACTAATGGGAATGTATAGAAATGCAGTTGTTGGATGCAGGGAAGGGTGGTACAAACTAATTTCGTTAATATTTAGAAATATTAATTGTAACCGGGTGGTGCCATTTGAGTAAAAAGATTAAAAAAGGACGTAATAATACATCAAATATTTTTATTTTTTTATTGGTTTGACGGAACGAGGACTCTAGGGTGGGAAGAACTCCTTCGACAGTTCTGTTTGAACTCAGAATTCCATTGTTGTAATTGGATATTTGAAATTTTTGTGGACTTGTCCAGTCTTTAAGTTGAGGAGCTTATTTTAATGTATTTGTTATTTATTCTACTACGGATAATTATTTAGAGGTAGTAAACATACAAAGAAATTGTAGCAGAACTGAAATTTAACAGTGACACTATAGCAAAATATCGAAAAAAAAAAAAAAAAGACTCTAAAATAATTGTTTGTGTAAGGGTGCGGTGTAAGATCTCGGTTAATAAATCGAGGCAAATTAAAGAAATATAACTTTTCCGCTCTAGTAAGTGACTATACTAAGGGCTGGCAAAGGTTAGTCCTTGGGGTCGAAATTTCCGTATGAAGAAAATACAATGCGGTTTATAATGTAACTGAACAAAGAGAGAACAATAAAAACGTTGCCAACGCATGAAATAAACCGGAAAACTGTGCACATCGCTAAGAGAAGGTGGAAGTGGATATAGCAGATTTGTCGCAGTTGACCGGTCGGCCCAATCAACACCTCTGTCAGTACTTAAAGTTTCAGGGAAAGGTGTACGTCATGCGTTTAGCTTCAGACGATTTTTTCACGTCTCGTGATACTTTAATTTGGTTTATTTATTAACGGTCGTTGTAATTCTCGCCTATATGCTCTTGAATTTTTTAAGTGCAAGCTAGAAACACTTGCATTTTTGGCTACAAAATAAGCGGAATTGTGAGTGGGTGTTTCGATAGTGGCGCGCTATAGAAAAATCTGAATTCAACAATCGAATAAATCTCGAAATCTATTAGAAATAATCGATTGTAGTTTTTTCAAAAGTTTTTTTTTTTTTTTTTTTTTTTTTTTTTTTTTTGTAGAAAAAGTATGTTGTAAAAATCTATTTTATCCAATAAAAAATTACATCGATTTGCTCGAAAATTGTATGGCTCTAAAAGTAATACATGGATGGTATTGTTTTACAATTTTTTTATTTTTTTTTTTTTGTGGAAATCGGAAAAAACAACACTTATCGAATTTTTTTCTTATGTAAACATATTGTAAAATTTCCGATCTTGGAAAATAAAAAAAAAAAGTTTCAATATCTAAAGTGGTCCTTGAGTTATGGCCTGTTATGTGTTAAAAATTTTGAGTTTTTAAATTATCGCGAATTACTACGTTTTCTCGTTATAAAAATTGACACCTTAACGTATCACATAATTCTTTTCAGTATGCTCAGAAACTGTCTAATGATGTTATCTAGTTATCTTTGAAAAAAAGTCTTACATTTTTAAAAAATAAAACGTATTTTCTTACTTGAGTAGGGAAAGGCGTTCGGCAAACGCCGCAAGATAACAGCGACACCGCTCTGCGCGTCGCGTCGTGCTTCGGCGCAATTTCTCATCAACTCCGATAATAAAAGATCCCTATGCATCTTACTTACTTCCCCACATGTAAATGCCGAACCAAAGTAACAAGTTGCCTGCACGGTATAATATCCAACCGTGTAGTAAAACCGATTCACAACTTTTTGAAAATTCACTTAAAATTAAACATAAGTTTTATTTTTTTTAAAAAAAAAATTTTGCTTTTTATTTATCTTTTTGCTACTTGTCAAGATTCGATGTCAAAGCATTTTAAGATACGTCAATTTGACTTATACCTGCTTCAGTAGCGTATGGATGTTTATTTTAACTAAAATAATGACACTTATCCTATTTTTATTACATTGTAATATTTTTATAACACTTTTTAACTAACGTCTACCCAACATTTAGTCTTGGTATTAAAAACCGCTGCATCATATTTTTAAACAGGACGTTTTGAATAAAATTAGGTAGGAATATCTTAAGGTACAGCTGGTTCAATAAAATTGAGTCGATTTAAAACTATATTTTTATATTTCGGGCAGTATATTATATGTCTGTCCCCCCATTTCTCTACTCATATCATGCTGATGGTCTGAAAAATTTATTTGCCCCTTTGTCAACAAGCAAGTTGTTTTATTGCAATGTCACAAATAACCTTTAAACAATTGGTCAAAAAAATACTTGACCATGTCTTTATCCACAAAGTTTATAAAATCAAAAAAAAAAAAAAAAAAAAAACATTTCATTTTTTTTTGGAACCACACTGTATCATTGCAATTTTGGAGCTGTTTGAGTTACTCCAATGAAAAAACAGACTGCAATTTCCCTTAAATTGCTGTAAAATCCTCTTGTCCCCCAAAGTTGTTGCGAATGATGTATGCATCGGCAATCAGGCATAAGCAACATATTTAAAAAAAGGGTAGACAGCCTGTGAAATTGAACTAGGCAGACCACGACGATGCAACTACTGGGTCTTGAGAAGGAAGATTCACTGCAATTAATAAGAAAAATTGTATTTAAACCACTTGTTAAAGTTCAAAGTTAAAAGTAGTGCGTGGCAAATTGCGATGACGAGACGGTGCATTTCGTTCAATATTTGGTTGAATGACGTACACGCCCACTTTTATTGATTTTCGCTCATAGGTATATGTGTATTTTTTCTACTAACTAGGGTTAATTAAAACCGATTCCCTATTTGTTCTAAATAAAAAAAAAAACTAAGCAGCGTTGCAAAATCTATTTAGTTTTGAATCACTGCCGGTGCGAGGCTCCCATGCTCCCG